AACAGAAACTATTTTCATGGGGGTTTTCTGTTTTTTTGGTTGGGTTTTTTTTTTGTTTGTTTGGTTTTTTGGGTGGGTTTTTTTTTGTGGTTTTTTTTGTGTGGGTTTTTTTTTTTTTGTTTTGTTTTTGGTTTTTTTTGTTATGGTCAGAAAATGTCTAAAGACATAGTGAACAGTGGGAGGGCTGGTGTTCCTCATTCCTGAAGCACATCTGCAGATGTTTGACTTAACCTGTGATGTGTGGTATCATCTTTCTGATACCATTTTGAGGTCCATCATACTGCTGAAATTCCTTCTGTTATCTCTACATTGGGGATTCATTATCTTTCTCCTGTCAGACCTTTAATATCACTAATTATCATATGAGTGAGACAGATTTTCCTGTAATACAATAAACTTTTTTCCTGAACATTACTTAAATTACGTGCAAGATGCACTTAGGATATGAGATGCAAACTTGATGTTTTACTTAAAGAAGACACAGAGGGTTTTTTTCAGTATTTGAATCCTTTAAAGTATTATGGAATCAGGTTTTCCACTTTGTTTATTTAAATATGTGATTTAGGGGGTTTTGTCATTGCAGAGGTCAGGAAGAGTTTTGAACTGACCACTGCTTGAAAATTGTTATGCCTGTTAAATTGATAATGGTTCTGAACTGGGATCTCTGTTATCAAAGAACCATACACTTTGTTTCTGGGAAAACAAGAACTTAAGGATGCTTAGAAAATGGTTCTTAAGAAAACTTCTTTAGGAACTGTGTCTTCATTATTTGGATTTTAAAGATCTGATACTGGTTTTGTACAACAGTATTATTGCTAGAAACATCATGGATATCCACATTCTTCCAAATCTATTATGATATGTTCATAAATAGCAACTGGCAGGAGCCAAAGTAGTGTTCAGATCAAGGGCAAAGACTCCAGGATTCCAGTCCCCATCAGGGCAGGATGAGGCTGAATGTAGGTGTCCTGCAGCACACAGGGTGGCATCACAAAAAGAAGCAGCAGACACAGTAGCTGCATGTCCAGCAGCTTTGTCAACTCAGGGATCTTCACATTAGGGCCCATTTTGCCCCTGAAAAAGTCTTGTCCCATCACCATCTTCTGGGACCTCTTTTTCCCACTTGGCAGCTTCTGGAGACTTTTCAGGTGTAAAACAATGGCATCACTTCCTTTTCTGAACTGATTCTACCTGCCTGAATATTTTTCCTATGACAATAAACATGATTTAGTTAAAATACAATATGCTAGCATGGAAGTGAACCCCAAATACTTCCAGATAATTGTTTTCTAAAAATGGAGAAATAATCAGCAGGAAAAAAAATCCAAAAAGACTGAAAACTCATTGGTAATTGATGAAGGTCATTCACATTCTTTGTTCTTAGGTTAGTGCAAATGCAGTACATATTTTTTCTGTCTAATTTAGCCGTTAATTCACATTTACATTCTTCACTGAGAAACTTTTTCTTAAGTCTGTTTAAATAGCAGTGTAAGCATTTGCAGCGTTGCATTCCCTGGGAGATGTTTAAAATGTTTAATTCTACATTATTTACAAAAATATATTTAAGAGTCTTTTTTCCCTTTCAAACTGCTGATATACTTGACTTAAGAAATTTTAGTAGTTATTTTATTAATTCAAAATTTATCTTGAAATTTAAGGCACAAATTCAGCAAAGCATGTGAATATAAATGTAAGATCCATCAAAGCCATAATTTTTTTTTGGGTTTGACAATTGTGCATGTATATATGTGTGTTTAACTTCAGTACACACATCAGTCCAACTGCAGAAAATATGGTTCTTTTCTGCTTTTCTTTTTTAGTGTAGTAATAGTGGTTATGTAATGGCTTCTGAATAAAAATGTCTATCTATGTATCTATAACAATGCTTACAGTATAAAGTATTGTGTATATTTATGTATTTGGAGTATAGTTCTTGCTTTAAATTTTTCACTGCCTTATTTGTTACCCAGTGTTATTCAGCAATAAAAAATGAAGTATTGCTGATGTCCATGCAGCAGAAACAAATGAGTTTCTGTGTAAAAACTGAAATCAGAAATATAAAATGCTATGTAAACATTCTTCAGCCTCTTGTTCTTAGCATTGTGTTTATTGATTCTTAAAATAAGTCATTAATTTTGATAGATGTCCCCTAGAGCCTGGCCTGACAGCATCAGTATTACAGCATGCTTTTCTGCCAAATATTTTTCTCAGCAGCAGGTCCAATCAAAGTAGCTCCTGCCTATTTCTCCTTTTATCCGTGCCATTTGTGCTGTGTCTGCAGCATTCCTCCGCTGTGCCATTCATTCCAGCTGTTTCAAAAGCAGCAGCTGATAACCTGTATCAGGGAATTAGTTATTTTTAACCCTGATACAGTTGCAGTGTGACCCCAAATGCCCTTAGGGTGTCTCAGGGGCAGAAACAAATGATGTAGAGCACAGGCTTATTAAAGCTGTAGTGCCTTTGAGAGAAGTAGTTGTTGTATCTCCAGAGAGAAAAATGTAATACTTAGCTGCTTCCAGAGTCGCCAAAAGCTCTCGAGGATTATTTTTAAAGAGTATTATATGAGGATGAGAGGATCTGATTCAATGAGATACAGTCAATAGAAAATGAAAGAAAGAGCCTTTTTCAGACTAACTGAAATAAATCGTCTTTACTATACCGTGTCCCTAAGTGCCACATCTACCCATCTTTTAAATATCTCCAAGGATGATGATTCCACTGATTCCCTGTGCAGCCTGTTCCAATTTTTGAGCACCCTTTCTTTGAAGAAATGTTTCTTAATATCTAGTCTAAACCTCCCTTGTTAAAACTGGAGGCTGGTTCTTCTCATTTTGACACTTGCTACCTGACAACTTGCTACAGCCTCCTTTGAGAAGCAGTAAGGTTTTGGCTGAGCATCCTTTTCTTCAGGATAAACACTCTCAGTTTCCCCGGGCACTCCTCATAAAACTTGTACCCCAGATCCTTCCCCAGCTCCATTGCCCTTCTCTGGACATGCTCCAGCACCTCACTGTCCTTCTTCTGGGGCTCGGAACTGGACACAGGGTTCAAGGTGTGATGTCGCCAGTGCCGAGTACAGAGGGACAGTCACTGCCCTGCTCCTGCTGGCCACACTCTTGCTGATCCAGGCCAGGATGCCATTGGCCTTCTTGGCAACCTGGGCATGTGCTGGCTCATGTTCAGCTGCTGCTGACCAGCACCCCCAGCACCTGATCCTTTTCTGCCAGGCAATTTTCCAGACACTCTCCCTCAGACTGAAGCACTGCATGGGGCTGTTGTGACCCCAGGGCAGGAACAATCACTTTGCTTGTTGAACCTCATATGATTTGCCTCAGTACATAGATCCATCCTGTCCAGATCCATCTGCAGCAGATCAACATCCCCACTCATCTTTGTGCTGCCTGCAGACTGAGGGTTCACTCAATCCCCTTGTCCAGGTCATTGATAAAGGTATTAACCAGGTCTGGTCCCGGTACTGAGCCCTGGGGAGCCCCACTAGTGACTTGCTGCCAACTAGATGTAACTCCATTCACCAATAATCTCTGGGCTTGGTCATCCAGCCAGTTCTTTGCTTGGCAAAGGGTATGTTTGTGAAAGCCATGAGCAGCCTATTTCTCCAGAATGTTGTGGGAAATAGTATCAAAGGCTTTAATTGAGTGTGGGTAGACTTTATCTTTTTCCTTCATTCACTGAGCAGATCACCTTGTCATAGAAGGAGACCAGACTTGTTGGGCAGTGCCTAAACCCGTGCTGGCTGTGCCTGATCCCCTGGTTGTCCTGCATGTGTGATGGTATTCAGGATGATCTGCTCCATGACCTTCCCTGGCTGACTGAGCCTGACTGAAGTCAGGCTGTCAGGTGGTATCCTCCCTCTGACTTCTTGTGGCTGGATGTTATCTTAAGTGACCTCCTGTCAGCTGGGACTGCCCAATTAGCCAAGACTGCTGGTAAATAATGGAAGATGATTTGTGGAGCTCTTCTGCCAGTTGCCTTTAGACCCTTGGGTGAATCCCATCCGGCCCCATGGTCTGTGTATTGTAAATTGTGTAGCTGATCACTGACCATTTTCTCCTGGTATATAGGAGCATCATTCTTCTCTCTCTCTCACCCAGCATAGGGTCTTGGTGTCCTGAGAGCAACTGTTCTCACTATTAAAGACTGAGGCAAAGAAGGCACTGAGTACCTCAGCCTTTTCCTCATCCTTTGCCACTATGTTTCCTCCTGCATCCAGTAAAGGTTGGAGAGTCTCCTTAGCCCTCCTTGTGTTGCTGACATATTTGTAAAAACATTTTTGTGTTTTACAGCAATAGTCAGGTTAAGTTCCAGCTGGGCTTTGGCCCTGTAACAAATGGAACCATTATTAAAATTAAAAGTTTAATGTGTTGTTTGGAAAACACCACCTTCAAAAGCATAAAAATCCCTTAGTGTTTCCAAGCAACTGCAGTTGTGTGGTCAAATTCCCAAGATGTGAGTTGTCACCAGTTGTTTTTACAAGAGACTCTAACCTTTGGTCTTGGATGGTTCACTGTTTAAGAAGTACACACACTAAGTTAAGTCATATGTTTCTCTGTTACATATATTGGACATAAGCAAATTTAGATTGAAGTATTCTTAACTAATCTGTTTCATTGTGCCATATGAGATAGTTTTTAATAGCTACTTATAAAGAATCAAAAAGATTTCCTCATTGGAATTCCACTCTTTCAGAAAACTTATCCATCAATGTGAACAAATATGTTTTGGGTAAGACAAGTCCTCTGCCTTAATCACTTGAGTCCCAGCTCGTATAAAACTTAACCATGCATGCAGCTTGAGTTACCTGAAGCACTGAAGTCAGTAGATATTACATGCTTAAAATGGGGGCGAGAGTAAATGCTTTCGTGAGCTAAGTCCTCAAAAAGCCATTATTATAATGTACTTAAGATAAAACCAACACATCATGGGAATTTAAAAGAGAAAAATAAATGTTTGTAATTCTTTTTTTCTTTCTTGTTTTGTAGGGGCAGAAATTTTTTCTGTGGTGATTTATAGCTACTAATAACCTTCCACAGTGGTTGCCTTATCACCTTATTATTCTGGCATCTTCTGCTCTTGTTAGTAAACATAGAGCGAAGTACTCCTAATCTCAAGAGAGAGACTTCGTACAGTATGTTCTGTACAAAACTGAAAGACTTGAAGATCACAGGAGAATGTCCTTTCTCCTTACTGACTCAAGGTCATATTACTGAGGAACATGACAAGGACTGCACAGAAAACAGCTCTAGAGCAGCTTTGCCCATCTGCAAAGAAGTCCATGAAAAAGATGGTCAAGGAAACCTTCCACAAAGGAAAACGAGCAGAAGTAGAGTGTACCTGCACACACTAACTGAAAGCATCTGCAAACTAATCTTTCCTGAGGTAAGTAAATATTAAGTAAAACTTTAATAGCATTTAACTATAAATGTTAAAAAAGCATTCTATGCCTGCCTTTAGATATAAACCCTTACAAAATTGCTTTGACTTAAAAGTTTGTGTTCTTATGTAGTTTTCCCTAGTTTAAATCCACTTCCATTCCTTCTGGACATAATTTTGCCACAATCTGTGTTGTACACACCATTCCTTCCACTGTATTTCCTTTACTTTTGCCTTGTATTTGCAACCTTCCACTGATCTTTTTAATTGCTCTTTTTAAATCCATCTTTTTTTGTACCATTTTTAACATAGATATACAGTAATAGAAATTCTGCCTTGTTACCTAATTATGTAAATTATGTGGCCATCTCATCAGTTCACCTAACTGAATCCAAACTGCTAAGTGCATTAATCATTATCACAAAAAAATTAAAATAGATGTTTCCATCTGCTGTGATACTAACCTCCTGTCATACTATTTTTAAAACCATTACTGTTTGTATTTGCCACAATGATATTCTTATGTCTCTGCTCAACTTAACTGAAAACTGGCCCAGTCTTGCTTGAGTGGAGACGAATACCATGGTTTATCTCTGTAAAAGGAACATGAAAAATGCAGCTCTCTAATATCCAGCTCTTGGCCTTGTCACAAATTCAGTGGGAGGCTTGGAAGAACTGACTGACATATCGAGACTACAAATAGCAAATGGACAATTTTGTACACTCATTTAATTACAATTCCATTACTTGGACATTCAGTGTACCTTACTTAAAGTGCTGGAGTTTTGTTAAATCTATTTGCAGATCTGATTATACCGATCTTTTTACCTCTGCTGCATTTATACAGATGGAATGCTTCCCTTGAAAATGATCTCTAAATTTATAAAGGAAAAGACTTGCAACTCAAAAATGAACTGGCAAAGCACCCTTTCCAGGATGTCAGGATTGCTGTATTGCTTTTCTAGTATACAGTTGTTTGTGGGATTTTTAATAACTGGTATTTTTTTCCCCCTTTAAAGAGTGCTATAAATGTATGCAGTTGCCTATTACATAATTATGATAGGCTAGTTCATCATCTGGGACAAAGCTTAGTAAAGAGAAGATATTATGACCATGTACCCTAGGAACCACTGAAATTCAAGGTTATCATTGTTACTATTTACAATTATTCAAGTCATATGCATCAGAACTTTGTTCAGGTCTGTTCTCATGATGATTTGGGGTCAAGCCCTAAGCATTTTCCTAATCCTATTTTTCCATAAAAGGGCTTTGCTTGTTTAGAAACATATTTTTCATTGCTTAGAAAATTTCCTTACTTAAATGTCATTGAGTAACATCATCTTCCTTCCAACTGGAAGCTCCAAAACAGGGCTGCATCATGACCCCTATGGAACCATGAACTTCTCATGGAGACAGCAAGCCATGCTTGGAAGTCCAGGACAAAGTGCATCCAGACCACTTTTTGATTAAATTTGGGATATAATGTAGTGCATGTTGTTGTTTAATTTATTTCTTTCTTTACAGAAATATGGAGAATATTGCTCATTTATAAGTAATGGATTGAATGGCAATCCACTTACTGTATCCATTTCTACACAGATGTAATTTATGTTGTGTTCATATACATGATATATGGTATATATGTATCTAATTCACTTTAGATTTTTTTCTTGGAAAACATTTCCAGAATATGCCTTTCTTTCACGTAATATTTTCTTTGGTTGTACAGACTATCCTTCTGGAAATACAAAAAGTAAAAGATGCAGTAAAAGCTGCCTCATTCCCTGCTTTCTTCAGGGAATGAGGACCAAAGAAATGCCAGGCCACAGGAAGCTTCACAGCTGAATTCTGTCATGGCAGTATAGTACTATTCTATGACCCTGTCTGTGTGGGAAGTTTGGGCTTTGAATATCAGAGACTACATACATATGACAGCTTTACTGGCCCTCACAATTTGAAATACACATATTTGGAAAATATTCCATCTGTTCCAATTAGGAACTGCAGAAGGGATATGGAATCATGGGATTGAAGTATTTTAAGGCAAATATTCGTTATGCTCTAAAGTTTCTTTTATTAGAGAATCCTTTCTTGAATCCTTTCTTAAATCCTTTCTTAAAATCTAGTCTACAATGACTAGATTTTCATCTGGCATATGCAGAGAAATTATTTTCTTTAAAATAATTTTGTATTCATGGTACTTTGTGGTTTTTTGGGGGGTGGGATTTGTAATGATAGAGAGCTGTGTTAGTTATGCTTATTTCTTAGCAGCACTGTCTTTATTGCCATCTGAAAACTTGGAGCTGAAGAACATCACTGTTTTTAAAATACACTACCACTGGTGCACATGGACTAGAGTATTAATTTCAGTGGTACTGGAGCTGAAGAGATGAACATAATGTAAACCCCATAACCACAGAAGTGACATGCTGTTTCTAACAACAATATTGTCTTGGAAAAAAGTTGTTAATCCCTAGGATGGCAAAGAAATTCTGTGTATAGAAATGTTACCTCATGATTAAATTTTCATCAATGAGATAGATACATATGACATATCTTTTTCCCCAGTTTGAAAGGCTGAATCTTGCACTGCAGAGAACACTTGCAAAACACAGAATAAAAGAAACCAGGTATGTAAGTGTTTGTAACTAATAGGTTTGTAACTAACTTCACTGCAATAATGTTTTTCATACAGAAATGGGGTGGTGACCAGGAATCAAGATTTCTGGAATTTATATTCAATTATCTTGTCAAATTGGTGTGTAACATTTCATGTAATGTAAGCTAGTAATGATTTACTTTATTTGAAAATATTCACAAATATTTACATCACTCACAAAGTTGACTTAATGGGTGAATTGTATGGAGAATCAAAGCAAGCAAGGACTGTGGAGGAGCTTGGAGACTTCTTGGCATAGATGAAACAATAGATATGGTTGTGTATGGATCTAGCCCAGTGTTTCTAAGATCTTGGGGAAAGAGTCTGAAATACAATCAGTGGTATACAAAAGAATTTGGTTTCTGATACAGTGAATGCTCATACACTACAGATACTGGCTTGGATGTTTTCCTGAGCTCATTTGGCTTCTGGTTTCTGTTTCTGAGGAACTCATCTCAATTTTCAGCACTTCTTAGTACTAAACCAATATTAATCATTGAGCCTTGTAGGGAGTTAGAATTTCTTCGCATCTCATGATACACTGAGGATTCAGTTTATTGAATGCATCTGAAAAAATAAGCCCATCAGTTTAAATCTGCTTTCTGAAGTGAAGAAAAATAATCAAGTTGGAAGCTACACTGTTGCTCACCATGTTAAGAATAGATAATTGCTGTGTATCTTTTAAATTATACTTGACATTTTTAAAGCACTTTACATGCATTGACTGAACCAAAGATAGCGGGTCAGATGTGCTTTGCAGTTGCTGACTGGCTTATTGCTATGAATGTTTTCCCATTCTTTAATTATGTGTTGCTTCCCTGGAGTATCAGTTGAAAAGAAAAAATTACTGTGATATTCTGAAGGAGGCAATAATGCCAATGTAAAACAAATCTAAATGTCTGTGTTGCTTTTGCCTATAAATATACCTATGATATTCCAAGTGAAGTAATTCAGAAGGCATGTATCAGGATTTTATTGCTTATATGAAGATTAATCTAAACTATATGTCTTTCTCATAACTTGGAGTCAAACATTCAGTTTGACATTTATTGTCCTCAGAGAACTCAGAGGGCTGCAGTTTTGTGTCAAATATCTACATTACTACCAATGAACAAGTAATTTTGTAGTTAATAGTTGTTTTTTGTTTTTCCTCTCAAAGCAGAAATACGTTCTGACCTCTTTTGAATTAAATGTACTGTAATTCCAAAAAATGCTTGAATGCAAATTCCAATTATATTTTACAATATGTTAGGAAATGTAGTTTTGGCTTCAAGAAAAAAACACAAACCAAACAAAAACCCACGACTGTTACAATGATAGGCAATAGCATTTGACTGAAATCCATAATTTGAGCTCAGACCACCAAAACTTTTAATCTACCAGAAATGCATGGGATAATCTAAGATCCTACCAAGATCCTCTTTAGAATTAATTAAGATCTTCCTATTTGATCAGCAGAACTGGGTCTATACACTTTAAAGACAAGGTAACTTCTGTACTTACTGTCTTTGCCACATTTATCTTGATAATTTAGGGTTTTATTATATTTTTATGATCTTTGCAGAAAAACTGGTGATAGAGAAGATTTTGAAAAAATAATCAGTGATCATGCTAATGCAGCAGGTAATTTAAGCTTGTTTAATAATATATATAAATAAATAAAGTATCTATTCTATATGTAGATATAATAACATTTTTTTATAAATTAGTCTTGTTACTAATATGTTACTTCATATTCTGAGGACTGTGTGTCAGAAGAGAACTCTGTAATTTGTAATATGTTACTCTGGCTACATCTGTAATAGTAAACTAACATTTCCTGAAGCAAAAATATGGTCTTCTGTACACTTAAACTGTTAAACTGGTCCAGGCACACAGTTGGTCTCTGAGAGACGATACTTTTTCAAAGGATTCCCAGTAACAGTTGGAGAAATGGAACATTTCCAACAGTCAGTTTGCATGCAGCTATCTGGGTAAAACAAATTTACTAGCAATGATTTGAGCCATTCAGTGCCAACTGGCCTCAGTGCTCCAGAATATTCCCAGGGTCATATAATGTACTGGATCACACATAGTACTTATATCTGCAGATCCCATTGTATTTGTATGTTAGTTTTTAAACTTCTTATTTTACTCCTTTAGATCGAACTAAGGGAGTTGAGTTAAATCTTGTGCCAAAACTTGCATCCATTTTGTCTACATCTCTACAAAGAACGCTGAATCTTGGATCTTTCTAAACCACAGCCAATTGTCCCCCCATTTCCAAGCTTTGTTTCCAGGACTCCCAAATGAGAATCCCTTCAGGTGTCAATGCTGTATCAGGGCAGGATATTGATTGTTTGTTTTAGAAAAAAATGTGGAGGTTAGCCTGTGATTCAGGATGATGGGTGCAGTTCTGACTAAAATGTGGTTCTGTGCAGGTGTTCCCGTGGAGTCTCTACGGGAATCTCTTGGTGAAGAGCTATTCAAAATATGCTATGAAGAGGATGAACACATATTAGGGGTTATTGGAGGCACCCTTAAGGACTTCTTGAATAGTTTCACTACTCTGCTGAAGCAGAGTAGCCACAGCCAAGAAGCAGGAAAAAAGGACAGACTTGAAGATGCCTCCATATTATGCCTGGAGAAAGATCAGGACTTCTTAAATGTTTATTATTTCTTTCCTAAGAAAATCACAAGTCTTATTCTACCTGGTATCATTAAAGCAGCAGCTCATATTTTGTATGAAACTGAGGTGGAAGTGATGCTCATGCCTCCTTGTTTCCATAATGACTGCACTGAGTTTGCTAATCAGCCTTATTTGCTGTATTCTATACAAGTCAAAAGTGCAAAACCTTCCTTATCTCCATGTAAACCACAGTCTTCACTTGTGATTCCTGCCTCTGTGTTCTGTAAGACTTTCCCATTTCATTTTATGTTTGACAAGGATATGTCAGTTCTTCAAATTGGAAATGGGATAAGAAGACTTTTGACCAGGAGAGAATTTCAAGCTAAGCCAAATTTTGAAGAGTATTTCGAAATTCTTACCCCCAAAGTAAGCTGCACTTTTAGTGCAATAATGACCATGCTAAATATGCAGTTTACTGTACGAGTTAGAAGATGGGATAATACTGATATGAAGCCATCCATGGTAAGAGAATTTTTATCACCATTACTTCTACAAAGAATTTGTTTTCGTCAGATGGACTTAAAATAGCCACAAAACATGGTGCATCTTGCATTTTCTACATCTGATACAACTGTATAATAATGATTTAATTAGGGTAGTCAAATGTAATTCAGATTCTGAAGCCAATGTTCAGTCAAAACTGCTGTAGGACTTACATAGAAGTAAAATCTGATTGCAAATTTGATTTATTTCAATAATTTGAAATACTGACATAAAGCCAGTGATATGCCATGCTGCTGAGAGTAAGGGTATCTTCAGCACAAAGACAGTGGTAGGAAAAGCTTTAACAAAGTGGCCCTGAGTTATTTGGGAATAGCTCTAGGTTTGGGGAAAATAAACAGGTGTGTGCTCATTCAGCCTTTGGTGTTTTGGTATCTTTGATACTCTGATGTTTTCATCAGATACAATCACCAGAGGTTCCACTTAGTTTCATCTGATGGGATTACAACTATCTTTGCTGAAATGACCTGGGACAGCAAAAAACATTGAGGATGCAATGGCTGTTTTTATTCATTCCTGGTCCCAGTTTATATACATTCCAGTTTATATGCACCTGAGGCACTCCAGGATGAATCACCAGCTCAGACTCAACAGACCAAAACTTCAATGAGGAACAGTTAAGAAGTTTTACCCAGTTGCTAATGTAGCTACTATTAAAAGCTGTAGCTACTTCATCTCAGATCTGTTTCTGCACTACAATGGTTACAAGGGTAGTAGAGTCAGATTTGATTTTGCATGTACTTGCATATGCAAATTTCTATTAGTAAGGAATAGATTTTATTTAAAAAGTGGTCTTTCAGAGCCATGTTAAGCTAAGCTCTGCAGCATCTTTCACATTACACAACTGACTACAAAAGGGATGTAAAAACACTTCACAGAAAATATTTTTCTTTTATAGACTATAAAAATTGGATATTCCTGCCATTTCTGCCTTTAATTTTAAATTTCAGTGATAAAATCACTGAAACTGATAAAATTAATCCCATGATAAAACTGAAGCACATTTTCTCACTTTATCTTACGGAGAAAGTGGTGCATGAACTAGTTATTAATAGAAATTCAGAGGCTACTGTAGTAACACATTTTATCAACTGCTGATAATACACAAAATTATTCTTTTTGCTTTTCTTTTCTTCCTAAGATAAACTGATACTCAGACATAATTAGGTGTTTATCCTTAAGTTGGAGTCCTCTTGTACCAGAATAAAAATGAACTTTCTTGATGGCTCTGTGTTTCAGCACCCCATGTTTTCTCTAAGCAACTAAATGAAATTGTAAGGGCTATGGACCAGTCTTGGTTTTCTTACATTTTAGCAAAATGTATTTTCTCTAAAATTTCTTGCTTCTAGACTATTGCCATGCATGTTTTGCATGAATTCTTGTTTCTTTAACTGTTTCAGGTAATGGATCTTAAAGGCCAAATGATCTATATTTTTGAATCCAGTGCCATTCTCTTCTTGGGATCTCCCTGTGTGGACAGACTAGAAGATTTTACAGGACGTGGATTGTACCTCTCTGATATTCCCATTCACAATGCTTTAAGAGATGTTGTTCTGATAGGAGAGCAGGCCAGAGCCCAGGATGGACTGAAGAAGAGGTTAGGAAAGCTAAAAGCAACCCTTGAGCAGGCCCATCAAGCACTTGAAGAAGAGAAGAAGAAGACTGTAGATCTTCTGTTTTCAATTTTTCCTGGAGAGGTTGCTCAGCAGCTGTGGCAGGGACAAGTTGTGAAAGCCAAGAAATTTAATAATGTCACAATGCTTTTTTCTGACATTGTTGGATTCACTGCCATCTGTTCCCAATGCTCACCTATGCAGGTTATCACCATGCTTAATGAGCTTTATACTCGCTTTGATTACCAATGTGGAGAGCTAGATGTCTACAAGGTACACAATTCATTGCTTTTCTTTGGGATTCTGGGGCAGAAAAGGAAATTAAGACTAAGTGGGACAGAAGATAATAGAGGCCCAAATTTTTTTTGCCAGAAACCTTTTTTTAAATGAAAGACAAACTAAATCACAAAACAAACACAAAAAAAAAAAAGTGAACACAAACAGCTGTTCATTCAGCCAAGAAAGAAACCCATCAAAACTTAACAGTTAATTTTAAAAATTAATTTCAATGACACTGCTGTGACTCTGGAGTAAACAGGTGTTTAATGTAGCTGGGGATGCCTGACTGTAAATGAAAAAGGAAAACTATTTTAGAATTATGCCCAGCAATAAATAAAAGCTGTGCAATTTTTCCTTTTGTATGATACTGCAGGATTTATCTGGTACTTAATTTTGAAGGAAAACTAAAACTTAGTCAAGAATTGAATGTAGCTACAATTCTCACTGAAGTTAGGCAGTTTTTTGTATTTATCAAAGTCTAAGAGTAAGGAACAAATATGCTTGTTTTAGGTTGAGACTATTGGAGATGCCTACTGTGTTGCTGGAGGCTTACACAAAGAAAGCGAAACACATGCTGTTCAAATAGCACTGATGGCCCTGAAGATGATGGAACTGTCAGATGAGGTGGTGTCTCCCCATGGAGAGCCTATCAAGGTCAAATATTTTATTGTATTTTATTTGGTCAAACTGAGCTTTTTTGTTTGTTTAGTTGCTTTCTGGGATTTTGTCTCAAGGAAATTTCACATCATTGCATTAACATAGAGAATTTGGGGAATCAAGTGACTGTGGCTGGAGAAGCTGACCTATTTAGATCTGATGGTGAGAGTTTCGTGGAGTGGAAAAGATGAAATAGAGATCTGAAAATCAACCCAAAAGACAAATGCAGTGAAGTTCATAGATGCAATCTGACGTGCGGCAGTTTTTGTCTCAGTAGCAATAAAACTGTCAGTGGCATGGAATATTCTCTTTTCTAAGGAAATGACTAATCTTCTTTCCAAATTAGACTTCCAAGTCCTTTGACGCAGGAGCTATGAATATGAATGCCCAAAGACGTTCTGATTGTAGTAATCCACACATCTTTAGAGGATTCCATTGCTGTTCTTGTTTCACAGTCAGATACTGAACCACCATAAGATAATGGTGTTAATGCTGTCAAAGCAACTGTTACATTCAGTGGTAATTATATTTATGGCTTTCTTTCAGTGAGAACTTACACATGTACTGAAATTTTCGTATAGGATAATCTCTTACTGAGAAAGAAAAAGAAATGCTTGTGTGCATGAAAAATAATGTAGACCTTCAGTGTAGTTCAAATGGACTGGAATGATATCCCATTATTTCTAATAGAGGTGTCCCAGTTCATTATGTCTTTCATTTGCTAATTTTTAACATTTATCTGTTCATTTGTTCCTCCAGAAAGCTTAGTGGTTTTGGGTTTTTTAATTTTAGATTGAGGAATACTTGTATTCCAAGAAAAAGAAAATGGCTATTAAGAGGATTATATGCTCCACATTTATCACACAGAACAACAGTATTGTATTATAAATAAATGTTGTTTTTAGTATTTTACAGTATCAAATTAAGTTACACTTAAAAAATCTGGAAACATCCTGGCAATATTATAACAGGTGTATAATTTACATGCAAATACTACTACTACTACTGCATTTTTAAAACTATTTTAAAATAAGGATAAAATGTAATATTGTGTAAGTACCTAACAGAAGCTTCTTACAAGGAAACTGTCTGTTTTTAATGAAAGCATGCATATATTTTAATTAAATGCTTCATGAAAACATTGGCTATTGTGGAAAGCAATAAATTTGTCACACAATCTACTGTCATTTTACATATCAATTGCCAAGAAAAAAAGGTGTGACTGCAAAAGGCATACTTTGAATCAGACTTGCATTTTGATTAACATGTTTCTGGATTTTGGTTTTGTTGCAAGTTTTTATGCTTTCACACTCAAAGTTAGAAACTGCAACTTCTTCATAATGGTATGATACTCTCTTGATATGTAAAGAGTAGTATGCAGAGTAGACATACAAGCTTTCTGACACCATGCCATTATTTAGTCAAAATGCTGTTCTGAAGAAAACACCTCTACATATGTATAATGCTCATGAGAAAAAGAACACAGCTCAAAAAAACACCCCACCAAAAAGAACCATGGAAAGCAGCAGCAGCTAAGTAAGAGTTGGAAATCTGAGTATAAGCTATGTTTACAGTAGTTCAAAGTCATATTTTGATATGATAGAATTATTGACTAAAAATGCAGCACAAGATAAACATCCACTAGTTCCCTCTCCATGAGCAGAAATGACCAGAATACAGCTATTTCAAGGAGACTCTGCTAACCCTGTTTACTTTAGTAGCTCATTCTTTCTTTCTTTTTTTTAAATGAAGAATAATTTTTAAAATTGACTTCACCAATTCTATTTTACCTAATAGTGCTGTTTTCTTTCTTTTGTTTAAAGATGCGTATTGGCCTTCATTCTGGATCCGTCTTTGCTGGAGTTGTTGGGGTTAAAATGCCTCGTTATTGCCTTTTTGGAAATAATGTGACCCTTGCCAATAAGTTCGAATCTTGCAGTATACCTAGAAAAATAAATGTCAGCCCAACAACTTACAGGTACAGTGCAGTCTGTAAAATGTCCACCTGCAGTAGTTACTGTAGTAGTCTGTTATCTTCCTGTTTTTTGGAGTTTTTTTTTGGTTGGGTAAAATAAGGAAAATTATAAATTATTATTACTTTTTAAGGGAGTTCTGCTACCCTCACTGTAGCCTGGACTGTAGTCTGTTGTTCCTACTCAGTTTGTACCCACTGCCACATATCTGATAATGCCTTGTGGCAAGGTTCTGCATCCAGCATCAGACAGAGCATTTGGCACAGGATGGTTCCTGACATCCCCTGCAGCATGTGTTATGTGACATAGATGGTGCCAAGCTTTAGATGGATGATCTTGGGTAGGTGATTTAGAAAAAGTAGCACAGGTATTAGAGCACAGAGAAAGTAACCCTTTTGATCATGCACTCTTAAAACACAGAGAGAGCATTGCATCACCAGTGCTTATGTATGTCAACATAAGCAGTGCTGGCCAACAGTGATTGTTTTTCCATTACACTCATACGGAAAATCATTTTGAATCATACCCCTAGAAAATAGGCAATTTGATTAATAGGTAAACTATAGTTGTTGTGGAGTTGTTTTTGTGGTTTTTTTTCTGAGTGTATGAGGTGTTAACCTCCTTTTTCTTTGGTGTTTTTTTTTTAAATTTTGATTAATTCACCAATTCTAAACACACATTGATAATGTTTTGCCATATTGCACAACTCCTGTGTATTGCAGTCATTGTTTGAAAGCTTTGGCAAGAGTTATCAACATTTATCCCTACAGATTAGTAGTCTCAGTTTCAACCTGTGAAAAAGCAGATAATATTAGAATTGATAAGAGGGTCTGAATAGTTTAATTAATAATGTTCACAGTATTCCCTTCTTTGAAATACTAATTATGATGCATTTGATGTGTGGATCGATGTGAGCTACCTTTCAGCATTAAATGCTTTTTGAAAATATTTACAACAAACATAGCACCTACATGCAAAATATTGACAAGATAAAAAAAAAGAAGAGATACAGTTATTGCATTGATGCACAAGTTAATAGGTTGTCAAGGTTACTACGTAAACATTATTTTTTATATTTCCAGTAAATAACTATAAAAATTAAGTTGGATTCTCCCTGCCACACATGAAGAATTATTGAATATCTGCAGTTCTTAGTGACTGATTGATTTTTAATTGATATGTTTAATTTTTGTTTTAGGTTGTTAAAGGAATACCCAGGTTTTGTGTTCACACCACGCTCAAGAGAGGAGCTCCCACCAAATTTTCCAAGTGATATCCCTGGAATTTGCTATTTTCTGGATGCTTATATTCAAGGAACAAACTCACAGACTTGGTTTCAAAAGAGAGATTTGGGAGATGGCAATGCCAATTTTTTCGGTGAGGAAACAGGAATAGACTAAGTTGTACATTCACAAATGTACAGAATAAATTTATAAATATTTGGATTTTTTTTTGGTATAAATTGAAAATTTTTAAAACTGTATGAAACATGAAAGCACTTTAGATTGTTAACACCTGAAAGCCAGTATTAAAATTTCAGGAAGTATGTCACTGACTACTTTTTATTTCTCCTTTGCATAAGGAACATAATCGCTAAAGTAATGTTGCAACGTCACTGTTGGAAATGCTACTATAAACTGTATTTTCCCTGTGGTGATTTGTAAGTGCTACAATTCTCTCTATACTGAGAATTCTAGATGTATTGTATATGCAGTTTGTCAGGAAATGTAACGTGCAAGTGATGCAGCCACATGCAGTGTTGTGAGCTGGTGCTTATCAATGACTATGAAAATGTATTTTCTTAGAGATTCCATAAGAAAATGCCCATTAAAATATTGTCATTGCCATCACATACTCCTTCCAGTGCATCATTTGGGCCCCATCCTAGAAGGCTGCTGACCATCTTCTCACACTGACTAGTCAAAGTATGAGGGTGCTCAGCATTTTCTGGATCAGGCTGCTAATTGTAGCTAATACACATGCATAGCAGAGTTGCTGCTTACTGTTTCATGAACTTTATTTTGTGTATAAAATGAATATAGATGAAAACACTGTATAATCACATACTAACATCTCTGTAATCATCAAACTATTTTAGTTCTTAGGGTTTTTAAAGTACTTAAAATTAATAATATCCACTTGTTATTATGTATTACAGCAATAAATGTTTTCTTTTTGTTGTCATTTAAATTTGAAATGTTTTAACGGAAGTGTAATAAAATATGCTTTGGAATGTTTGCTTAGAAATGGAATTCCAGTCAGACTGTATGGAATGGAAGCACAGCAGCTTAAAGCTCTGATCCTTATTTGAGGATGCAATGTGGGTGTGAGGTGCTACGGAAATGCCCATCACATGCTCGCTCTGTAGTTGCCAGGGGAATTTTCAGGTGAAAAAGAGATGCTTTTAAACATCTGAACACATTTACAAAGATTAATACTACTACAGTACAAACTTTTCTGTTGTGGCTGATGGAATATGAGTGGACAATTCTAAAGGCTTTGCCTGTGGAACTGGCAGAATAGAGTCAGTTTGGAGTTCTGAGTTTAGGATTCCGCCTCTCTAACTAGCAGATCCATCTGCCCAGAAATTCCTCTGTTGATCCCAACGGCAGGCTGGAGAACTGCACTGCCTATACACATACCACCACTACTCCCATTTGTATCAGGTATTATTATTCTGACCTCTTCAGCTCCTGCGGTTTGGCATATCAAACCATAAATGTCTCTTCAAATCATTCACCACTAAACCAGATTTTGGTCTCTTAATATTTACAGGGAGCAATTACATTAGATTAAGGTGCTATTTTGTTAATTTTCTGATCTTGACTGCTACATTATGAAGCTCAATAAACCATTTTATCCTACTAATTTGGTAGAAACTCATGCATGTAGCATCAGAATCTTGAGAAAAGACCTTAGATGAGACTAGAATTAAGAATGTTTTAAAGCCATATTTCAATTCAGATTTCCTGTAAGGAGCATTTCAACAAAACTTGAACCATTGAATCCTTCTTCAGGTCTACTACATCCATCCAAGATGCTTAGAAATAGTTCTGTGGCACAAAAATGGAACCAGAAAATCTATGTATTATAAATAAACACATCTTTCTTGTACAGATCAGATACATATATATACACATACATATATATACAGGCACATATATTTGTAACACTTTAGACTGCAGTGTTTCAAGGAAACAAGAATTATACAAATCTTGGAGACTGATCTTTCCAATATTATATTGGTCAGACAATTCTATTCTATTCTATTGAGAGAAATACCCAGAGGTTACTAGCAGTCCTACATGGGTACCCCATGATACAGAAAATGGGGGAGTGTTTGACTCCTGACAGTTCAGTAGGCTTATGTTATTAAACCAGAAATTACTGAAGTCAGTATGAATCTAACCATCCCTGTTAAGAAATAAATAGACATTTAAATAAAAAGGATTTATTTCTCAGATCTACTAAATGGGAAGTACATTTAGGAGGGAATTTCTGTTTGTCCCTAGAAGACAACTGTTGCTGACTGGATGAGGACCATGCTCAAAGCCAAATTCCATATAAATCTGCCATTAGATAGGATGTTCATCATGGCAGTTCTTGATAACCTTCCTTAGGTAACAGCCTTCTGGGAAGAATTCTGATGAGGTGCTTTACTGTACACAGAAAGCAACGTGCTTGAGTCTAAGGGAAGGAAATAGGATTCAGGCACATATTTAAGACAAAGATTCATGAAAGTGCTTTAAAATGTACTTGTCTTCAGATCTGTTCTACCATAAATTCCTTACAAGTCCGTTTAGCTTCAAACATAATTTAAGAATTTAGGTCTCACTGAAAATGTTCCTCTGTTTAAATTCTTTTGCTGAATAAATATGTATTTCATAAGGGACAAGTATTTTAATTGATCTTTTCACTTAGATCTAAAATATTCCTTTCACCTTTTAACTAATAATTTCATTTAAATTGAAAAAAAAATGGAATCAGAAAGCTAATAAACAAATTGTTGAGATAAACAGAAGGAAGGCAATTTAACTGATGCAATACTGGGACATTTTGGAAGAAAATAATAAGAGTTGTTTTTAAGGTGATCTCCTCTGTAGTATAGTGTATGATACTGTGAAAATTTTCAGAGACTATGCAATGCTATTTACATTAATATAAAAATACCTTAGTATTATGTCCAGAAACAGTTTTGTAATGTATGAAATTTTATTTTATCAGTTCATGAAGATTCTGTATGGCTGATTCCTGTTCACATTTACACTATGTGATGGAAGATACATTTTCATCACTGCAATTTCTTTGCCAAAGAAGTCTAAATGGCCCTTGAAATAAAAAGTGGGTCCTTTGAATCTTGACACTGACATAGCTAAAGTGAAAGCTATACCAAAAGAATTTAATTAATTTTATTTCATTCAGGCATGACCTGATAAGATTGCAGGAAGATGTCAAAAAAAATTTGCATTGCTGGTGTCAGAGGAAGTGCAATTAGTGCAGAGCTGATGCTTTCTTTCTCTCTGAACTACTGTGCAAAACCAGAGCAAAGGGAGTCACGGGAACTGACAGAACGGTGAAGTGCACAGATAGTTGAGCCCCTGGGACAGATCTACTTCTTCCTGGGAAAACTTGTGAAGGCAGAATTCAGACCTCCCCCAAACCTAGTTTATTTCTCCTAACATTTTCTTTTGCAATCTTTCCAGAAACAGCTGCAATTAATAGTACAGGGGGCAAAATCAGTATTTCCAACTAAAGGCTATCAGAATTAAGGGAATTGCTCTTGAATCTTGGCAAGGGGGCCCTTTTTCAAACCCCACCCATCCTACAACCTAGCAGGGCACTCCATCTGCTAACATTTTTTTTAATGCCTGCCCATTGTTCTGCAAAAGTGGTGGGAGATTTGCTTCCTGCAACAGCAATGACTTTTGTGGCTGTTTGCCATAGAGTGTACGAGGTACTGAGTTGCTTTCAAAGGTCTGCTTCAGTTTATCTAAAGTTAGCTTGGCAGGAACTAAAAAACTTTCTGAAATGAGAGCTAGGACTTGCTTTTCTGTCTCTAAAGTCTGCAAGGTGTGTGCCATAAGTCTTTAAAGACTTCTAAAGCCACCTCTGTTGGTGTGGCTGCTTACAACTGCATAGGAAGAAAATAATCAGTTGTAAGGTTTGTTTGGTTTTGGCTTTATTTTAAATTTTCCTATCCTATTTGCTTATGTTCACTGGCAGTCCTTTTCTGCAGAGCATGGAGGGAGAGTAAAAGCCACTGTCTTAGGTTACTGACCATTGGTCTGATACTGAAACACAAATAAAAGAAGAGAGACAATCAATGATTCTGGAACCTTTGCTATGTCCAGATGCAGCAGTTTAAAGATACATACTCTCCAGAGCACAAGCAGTAGGATCTGAATGTTAAATATGCAGTTAGGGTGGAACATAATCTGGAAAGCCAGTCAAAGAAATAATAAACTGTGAAAGAATCTGAAATGAAGTAAACAGCCTTATAAAGTTGTGTGTCTCATCTGCTTCAACAGACTTTTGATGCTGAAAGCAAAGTCAAGCCAGTGGTTTCCTAATATAAATGTAAATGAGCACATTGCTTTTCAGCCTTGTTATAAGATGGCCTTTGAAGATCTGGGCTAAAATTGCTTCTATTTTTTTAGCAGTACAAAATTACAATTTTTTGTGCCACTACAGCAAATGCATATCCTGCACACACAGCAGCACATAGTAATTATTGGGAAATAACCAAAAGAATGCATGCAGAAGCATCCCAAGGTCGTGAAAAGAGCTGGATTCAGACATGGAAACATTTCCACTCTTCTGATTTTTCAGCCCAAACAAAACCTGCCAAAGAAGTATCAAGGAAAAAGGCATTCCCAGGGGCTTTGGACTACAAGCACGTGAAAACGAGAAGAAGTCTTTCCACTGATTGCAGATGACGTTGGGGAAACTTTGAACATATTATTAGTTCACTCTGCATGGCTAAGATTACATTCCTCTAACAGGAGGATGCAATGAAGCTCTCTGTTTCTCAAATGTACACATTAGTGCATTACAGAACTGCATGGGAACATTTAGGGCTGACAAATCATAGCTTGTCAATACCAGGACTGAAAAATTAACATAATGGTATAGGAGAACACTGCATAGTGGTATAGTAGAAATAATGAATCTTGCTGAAGTGAACTTACAAGGGCATTTCTGCACCTGAGAAGTATTGTTATGACAATTCCAAATGTCAAATCTCAGACCATAACTAGAAAATACCTATAGTTCAGTCCATGTCAGTAAAGCATCTCCAGTAAGCGGGATCCAGCAATACCATATAAGGCAGTCTTTTTATTCAGGACTTCAGTAACAATATAAACTGGAAAAGCAAAGTCCAAGTAAAAAATGCAACTTATTAAAATACTTCCTTTATTTTATTGTGCTTGTGCATTAACACAAACCATATTGAGCTGAATGCAGATGTTCTTGGCCAGCTAGCAGTTTTCCTGAAGTTACTGTCTCAGCAGCTGCCCTTTCACACAGCATAAAAGGATCCTCTGCTACCTCTTACTTTCATGAATCTCACCAAGAATTGCCAGATGAAGTCAGCATCTCAAATCAGGAAGAAACTTGTTAAAACCTGTATAACATGTACCTAGTGCACAAGGGTGACCAAATGGGAATATGATTGTGTGCTATAGCGGAATAAGCTGAAGGCTTTATGGAAGTGCCTCAGATACAGTTCAAATGTTTGTGTGATGTGCATAATGCATGTGGCACAAGAGTCCTGGTCCTGACATGGTTTGGCCTTGGAAACACAGCTCAGTATTAACAGCTTAGTTTGACATTTATCTTATTGACTTCAAGCTCCTTCTTCAGATGAAAGCAAATCTTCTTGCCTAACACTTCCAGACAGTCTTGACTGAGCAGGTATCTGGAATAGAGGTTTGTCCTTCTCAGCAAATCAGTTGGGTGAATTCTTTAATTCAGCATCTTCCAAACTTTCAAAAGGAGACCCCTGTTTTAGAAAACAAAATCAATCACTGCCTGCTTTTACTCTGACTGTGCCATTTTCACTTTACATTTTACAAATCTCACCTTGGCTAGAACTTCCATTTGTACTATAATGGTCTAATCACAGGAACAGCCTGCAAACGCAACCTACCAAGGCTGAACCAAATCAGAAGAAAGGCAATTTCATATTTATCTAAGGCAATTTTGACCCTTGTCAGCACTTTCAAGCGTCACTCAGGTACACAAAA